TGAGGCAACTGTTGTGGATCCATCAAGGCATCAATAGTCGTTCTTCTAGCTCTTGTGCGAGCCAGAGAAAAAAAGGTTGTATCCATTTGTCCTTCCTTCGAATGTTTGAAGAACTTTCCTCTAATCAAATGCCCTTGTCAACGATGCTGCGCAAAGGTTAGTAGTTGATCCCTAAGAGCTAGAATATCATCATGTTGAGATACTTGTTCTGGATTATCTTGAAGTTCATATTTAAGAATTTGTTCCTGAATATTCATTTCTTGCTGATATCTTTCCTTGGCTATTAGTTTAGAGTATTCATTACATTTTTTAGCTAAATATAATAGTCCATTATTGAACCATGCAATATATGAATCATGTCTTTCTTTGGTAGAGTGTCAGTACCTTCATACATCCTGAAGATAAGACTTGAAATCCTTTCGTTTAAGGAGGGATTGATTGAGTTTATAGAAACCTCTACCTTGGTCTGGCTTCTTACGGAAAGAAAGTAAGATTGCACACATTTTATGATCCATTCCTGGCCACGGACTTAGTGGAAAAATGTTAAGTCCTATTAAAGCACAGTTTAAATCTTCAGACATAAGAATGAGATTTATCCTAGACCTTGACTGATGGGTAGAACCTTCGTTCCTAATACACGTATACAACCTCTCCTGTGGACAAAACCGCCTGTATATGTCAAACAAATTTTCAGACTCACAAAGAGTTTGAATAATTTGCTCATCCTCCTGTATATAGGCAGGATATGGAGAAGGAAGTCTCCATCTGTCCAATTATCTATCAGGTGCCGTGTTAAAGTCACCTGCTATGATGATTGAAACTCCACTAGGAATATGATTTCTAATGATTTGAAAGAATTCTCTTCGTTCTTGTAATACATTAAGACCATAAATATTAAGGACACAGATTTCGCAGGGGTATTTTCATTTTTGCATAAGGAAAGGATTCCTTGCCTAGTATCCCAATAGGCAACTCAGACTTTCGGATTCGAGAAACCAGAGCAAAAAGAAATTCCAAGCACGCTTATTAAGGCGCATGCAAATCCTACGTAAAAGTACACAAAGAAAGAAAGAAAGAAAAAAATTTCCACAACTCCAGAAGCGACTAGTTTATGATTGGGCGACGTGTCCAGGTATCAGGAACTACCATGAACGAGCCCCTCGGACAGGAAAGGCCGAAAACACACCGGGGATATGCTGAGCCCGATAGCCCGTTCATTGAAAATGCAATTTGGACCTGGTAGAGGAACTGGAACTGGACTAGATTGTCCCCATTTACTAGCGGATACAAAAAAAAAAGGAAGGGGCTCAGAGACTCGCTCATGCACAGAAGTTGGTGCTTCACAAGGGGTTCCCTGTCGTGTTTGAGGGATTAGGTGTACTGGTGTGGGATGCTAAGCTTTCTGGGAATGCTACTATGAGACTATGGAAGGGGAAAACACACCATACTGTGCACTGGTGTGGGATGCTAAATTTCTTTGCAATGCTACTATACTCCTATAAAAGGCGAAAGCACACCATACAAGTTTCTGTCGTGGCTGAGGCTCGGCCTGTACATTACTATGGTCTGGGTACTTTAAAAGTTGACACATCAATCAAGATTTTACCATATTGCTAATGACATGAAGACTTTTGATTCATAGGAGTATGACTAAGTGTGTTGTATTTGCTTAGGGACAACACCCTCTGTGTTGTGTGTGTTATAGGTGTCATAGGTGCATAGTACAAAAGCCCATCATGGTGGTCGGTCTCACGGTAGTTGCGTGGAATGTGAGGGACATATCGGGGCCTACGCTGAGAACCAAAAAAGGAGAGATGGAATACCTGCTACAGGAAGGGGGGGTCGATATTCTCTGCCTGCAGGAAACCAAAATTAGTGATGTTAGCCCTGGTGAGAGGGTTGTGTGGTGGAAGGGGTGGCAAGTATGGGCGTTTGCAAATGGTACGAAGGGGGGGGTTGCTATTCTCTTTGCCCCAAAGTGGGGTGCAGAGCCCATTGATTGGTTTTTTGATACATGGGGAATAGGGGCCTGAATCGCTATAGACTATTGTGGTCAGCGTTAGGTGCTCCTCAATGTGTATGCCCCTGTGAGCAGGACGAGCAGGAAGTGGTTTTGGCGATCTCTTCCTGCTGTTTGCACCCATGCGGACAGGACTGTTATAGTCGGGGACTTCAATACGATACTCCTCCCTAGAATAGACCCGGCTTCGCCAGGCAGTCCACAGTCTGATGCCCATGCATTGACCCTTGTCATGGTGGATTTGGAGCTGTGTGATACTTTTCGCCACATGAATCCCACAAACCGCAGGTTTACGTGGTTTGGCCCTGAACTGGCTCCCCGAAGCAATCTAGGCATGCTCTAGGTGGACATGAAGACCCTCAGCGAGGTCACGAAAATGGAGGTGGTGCCAAGGGCTACCTCCAACCATGTGGTGGTCCTCCTGCGCATAGCGGTGCCAAGCGGCATCCATCTTAGGCGCCCCCCACTCGCGATACCGTTGTGGGTCTTCACCGATGGGTTGTCCAAGGCCTTGGTGGTACAGCATTGGGAGCACTGGCTGCCTGCCCGCCCGCCGGACCAATCACAACTGGCCTGGCTAAAGAGGGGCTCTGTAGTACTAAGAATGCTCCTCAAACAAAGGCTTAAGGTGCATGCGGGCTAGAGAAAGGACAGGAAGGGAGTTCGTTGACAGGATTACGGACCTGGAGCAGGGCCATGGCGTGGTCAAGCTGACGAAGAATGGTGGGCAGAAAGGAGGAAGGTAGCAGCGGAGTGGCAGCAGTGGTTCACATGTGAAGTGAGGAGAACCAGCTATTTGTCCAAGGTCAAGTGGGTGTAACGTGGGGAAAGGATGACCTGGGAATTTGTTCACGCACTTCGGGATTCGGATAAGGTTGCTACGATGCACGAGTTCTTTTCCGACGACAGGTCAAGGACGACTACCTCCCCAACGATATTGGATTATGCAGACCAGTATCACAGGTACCTCTTCATGGAGGAGCAGCAGTGGACACCCAGGGATACGGCGAACCAGCCGTATGGCGCAGTGTGGAGTGCCATTAAGGCCATAGTGCCACAGCTGCGCAGGGAAGAGCTAGACCTGCCCATGACACGAATTGAGGTGTGCAAGGCTACCGTAAACCTTCCACGGGGGAAGTCACCAAGACTGAATTATCCCCCTCGAGATGCTCAAGAAATTAACTCAATTATTCAACCAGTGCCTTGCAGATGCTTATAATGACGCTCTATAGCGGGGCTTCTTTCTGGGGGGATTTTGGGAGGCTTATATTACCCTCATTTAAAAAAAGGGGGATAGGGTAGATATTCGGAATTGGCGCCCCATCACGGTGTCGGAGGGCGCGGTATCCTGGCCCTCCACGGTGTATCAGGCACACCTCGTTCGTGCCCTGCTCCTGGACCAGGCTGATTGGCGCTCCCACTGGCAAAAGGAGGGGTGCGTTGCTGGGCTTTCCTTTGGTCCACGCAAGCTCGGCGACCTGCTGTACAACAGAGCACAACCGGCCTGTGCTCGTGGTAGCCGCCGGGGTCGCCCATTGAGGCGAAAGTAGTAAGACCGCCATGGTCTTTTCTAATGCACGTCGAACTCCCTCTGGTCGAGTTAAGGGATATGTGTGTAGTCGCAATCACAATCCGGTTGAAGCAAAAAGAAAAGAAAAGACAAGAAAAACGAGAAGAAGCCAGCGCCCTGATCTGGACCACCGTTTTAGTTTTGATTGATTTAAAGGTCACTGGTTGCCGCAACATTATATTTTTCATAAGAATTATGATTCTTTGTAATCTGGGTAGCACGACATACATGTACGTGGGTTGCGCGTACACGTGTACACGTGTACACGTATTCCTGTATGCCACACATACTCCCGTACGTGGGAATACGTAAAAAACAAAAAAAAGCAGCGAAAATTTTAAAAATATGAAAAAAATGTATGTTATGCAAAATGATATTTCAAACAACTTTTATCGAAGACTCATCTCAATCTTCTATACGAAACTCAAGTTAAAAATAAAAGACAAAAAAAACAAATAAATAAAATAATTAAAAAAAAGTAAAAAATAGAAAAAATAAAAACAAACTTTTGTAACGAATATATGTTATGCAAAAACATGATACAAACAACTTTTTTCCGGGAGTCATCCCCGAATTCCCAACCAAACTCGAGTAAGAAATTAAAAACTAGAAAAAAAGTAATGTTATCATAATAATTGAAAAACTATTTAAATTTATTTATTATTATTATCTTTTTTAAGTTTCTTTAAGGTTGTTGATTTTTAAATCAAGTTTGGTTGGGAATTCGGGTATGACTCCCAAGCAAAAGTTGTTTGTATCATTATTCTGCACAACATAATTTTTTTCATATTTTAAATACTTTTTTGGATATATGTGAGGCCACTGCCTCTAAGAGCCCCATAAGGCCGCTATTTTGCAGCCCGTCGGCCGCCCTAAGTGAAGGCAGGCTCGACGAGGCCCTCAGGGCCCTTTTCTGGCCACCACGCAACTCAAGGAAATTCAGGCAGTTGCGCAGCGCCAGTTGGTTGAATGGACCCAGGCCCTGGGCCGCTTGTGTGAATGTACGTGAAGCATGCCCTGGGCTGGATACGGGTACCGGGCCAAACACAGGCCGAAAGCAGTTGGGCACATGCAACCACTTCAGGCCCAAGGCCTGCTTTCCTCGTGACTGGGCCTCAGGCTACCAGGGCCTACTGGAAGCTTCCTGGACTGGACGCAGGCAGGCCACTTCGATATAGGGAAGGCCCTGCCTCCTCATTCGGCATTCGGGTGCTGGCTGCATGCCACGCAAGCGCTGCTGCTGCGCTATTTGCGGGCTAGCGCCTACGCTCTCACGGGCGAGCAGGGAAGGAGCACGCAGCCATAGCTGAGCTGCGCTGCTGTATGCTGGGTGAAGCGCAAGGTGGTCCTTGGGTGCTAGTGGCATCTGTGAGTTGGGAAACGAGGTTGTGAGTGTAGCGCGAGACATACCTGGTGCTGAAGCGTGCGACATTGGTCGCCATATGCTCGTACTTCGGGAACGCTGCTGATATCATCTTTCTGCTTCGTAGTATAGGCTAGATAGGATCTGGCACATGTAGTCTGGGCGCCGAGCGCCAATAGGATATCAACTCTGGTTCTTCGTTGATGATGATGGGACTACTTCAGCATTGTCAATTATGAACTCTTGGTGTGTTCTTATTTGGTGTATCTCGTGATGCAATTATGTTGTTGGTTCGAGGTCAAGACTATCTGGACTCTTATGTATGATGCTGTTTGATTGCTGGAGTTCGCTATTACTCATGTTCCTTGCAATTTGGTATCGGAGTTGTGGTTCGATTGCGCTCATCTGGCGCTTGTCTTCTGCCTTATGCGGTACATACATGCGGTCTGCTGGGCGAGTTTGGTCGTAATTGGTGTGTAGTGAGGAGGGTGGAGACGAGTGTGAGGCGACCCAGGAGGTGAGGGGAATCGCCAGGAAGGCTACGTGAGGTGAATGTGGTCTAGACAGTGTGATGAGAACTATGTAATGTGTGATTGATGCTGAGGTGGAACGGTGAATAATGCTGGTTGTGCCGATGCAGTGACTGGTCATCGCAATCGCCATTTGGTCATCTGGTGAGATTATCTCTGTGGTTGGGGGCAGCTAAATGAGGTACGTTGCTCTTAACCTTATCTTCCCTCTCCAACACTCCTTACCGCGAGGTTGTGTGTTCCTTCTTGAGAGTCCTCTCATCGTGAGGTGTCGAGTGCGCTCAACCTTGAGAGTCGGCAATATTCTTGTGGAGCATCTGGGTGGAGATGGGCGAAGCTTTCTGAAGGGCCTCGGACGAAGCACTGGGTCACGGTCACCATGCCAACCCACAGGGAGTAGAGCACACATGCCTAAGCTGCTTGCCCTTTGTTCGGCTTGCTGCGCTGTTAGATGGGTACTACTGGGCAGGCCAGCCCTACAGGAAAGACGAGCACCCGGCGTCTATAAATAAACACGGGAAGGGGAACCATTGACTGTGATCGTCGTCCGACTGCGACGTAAAATAATTCCTGGAGTCACTTGGGGGCGGACGTTAAATTGCCCCTGAATCAGTCAATGGTTGGAAGGCTCGCGGCACGCCGAGGATAAATATACGTGCAAGGCTGGCCGTCTCAGTGGATGCTCGGGGCACAGGGGTGGGCCGGACACACACCTTTAGACACGCRWYRCYCTCCAGATYGCTCAGGGACGCTGACGTCAAGAGATACTCASGGGAAYTAAGGGARGGGTTGATTCCAGGTGACAAGTTCGAGAAAATTCCATGCTGTCCTATACACACAAGTGATTCTATTTTTATGTTTTGATTAGTTAGATGGACTGCCATTGACATCTGACAGACAGCATTAGTTAGAACTGTTGATTGTTCCTAATGTTTCTGTTCGTGAACAAGTCATACTAAAAATAGTTTCAGTTCTAGGAATCTGACGTACCTGTTGACCTCAAGTGATATCTACTCCAAAGTAGCCACCAACGAGTTAGTGGTCCGTGCACTATGCTGTGGTAGACATCTTGAATGTACTAGTGTAGACAGTGCACAATGCTGTAGCCTATGAGCGACGAGGAGAACACCGGAGAGAACGACCGCAGGACTTTGCGATCAACTAGGGGCCCGGTAGCCCACGTGTCTTTAGGACCGGAGGGTGATAGACATCTGTTCCGCCAGCAGAGGGAGAGACAGCAGGCACAGAGGAGGGCTAGAGCAGCCGAGGCCAGCCGGACTTCAATTAGCGAGGCCGGTGCTACAGCAGAAATGGCTACTACAACCATGTCCACTTCTGCGCAGCAGACTTCCCAAGCCAGTAGTTCAGGTGCCTTCGGGTCAACGGTCGCGCAGACCATGAGTCAGTCCACTGGCTTAATGGCAAGCCAGGCAGCGGTGTTGACTCCAGAGGATGTCGCCATCCAGCAGGCAGCCCTGCAGGAGGCACAACTACAACGGGCATTAGGGGAGATAAAAGCGAAAAAAGAAAAGATGATCAGGAGAAGAGCCAGGATGCAACGAAGAGAGACAGATATAGAGGAGTTAGAGACGATGGACATGACCAATATGGATGAGGATGTGAGGGTAGTTAGGAGGGCCCTGCTAGGCGTCATAGAAATGCAGGAGCATCAAACTACCATCCTCCATGACATTCAACAGAGCCTAGCCGTTTTGGCAGGCCGTGCTCAGGCAGCACCATCACCAGCAGGGCCYGGTGCCTGGCCCGTGCCATATCCTCCCTTCTCTGTCCCACCGGTGACTGGGGTATCCCCATATGTAGCCCCGTCAACGGTTGCTATCGTTTCCCTAGGCATGCCGCTATCAGGAGGGATAACAACAGGGAGTAGTTTACAGGTTCCTGTACAGATAGTGTTTACTCCAAGTCCGTCACAGGTTGCAGTCACCACGCAGCCTGCTGTCTCGCAGCCAGTGCAGCCTCAAGGCACACAGCCCCAGCAGCTAGCACAACAACCTGTTTCACCGGGTCCACAGCCTGGAATGATGCAGGGACCGGGACAGACACAGTGGGTTCCGAAGACGGCCATCGCCGCTCCCAAACCTTTTACAGGGGACAAGAGAGGCGAGGACCTCGACACATGGTTGAGGGCAGTGTCGGTCTACGTCAGGTGCAAACTCACCTTGCCGCACAAAGAAGTGTTTGTGGCTGCCTCCTACCTCGAGGGTAGTGCAGCGAGATGGTTGAGTGGTCTAGTACAACTTCAGGGATACGGTCATGACTTCCGCGCTTGGGCGACCTCCCAAAAATTGGAGGACTTCCTGAAGATGGTGGAAGAGAGTTGGCATGATCCTCAGGAGGCTCAAAGGGCCACTGACGCGATCCTGACACTGCACACGCGGCAGTTTAAGTCAGTAAGGGAAGCTACCGACACTGTTGAGTGTTTGATCTGTGTCCCTGGGGTACGCTATGATCCTCAGGTCCTGTTGACTTCGTACCTGAGGTGTTTCTCACAGCCTCTCAGGAACCAGTTGGCAAAAGAGGCCAACATCAATATGCACAACTTCCCTTCGTTTAGCAAGGTGGCCCTAGACCTGGAAGCAAAGATAGGGCATAGACAGACACCCACTACGGAAGGGAGAAAGAAGACACTGCCTCCCAACTGGAAGGCGAAGGGTCGCTTAATGTTTGTCGACAATGATGGTCCAACCATCGAGTTGGACGACAACCTCCAGGAGGGAGTAGGTTCACAGGCAAGCAGCATAGACGCTTCAGAGGGTAGAGTGGTCGCTGCTGTAGCACAAAAAGGTAAGGTGGCCGGTAGACGCCGCGGAGGCTCCCGGTCTAGGAGTCAAGTTGACCCCAATGCTCCTCCATGGGAGAAAGCGGGTCTCACAGAGGACGTGTGGAGAGACCGTTACTCTCGGCAGGCCTGTATTCGCTGTGGCCAATATGGCCATATCCAATTTAAGTGCCGCAACAAGAAGGTGACAGAAAAGATCCCGCCTACGATGGGGCAAGTGCTGGGATCCTCTCATCCCGTTGGCAGCAACATAGCCAGTACTTCAGGCAGTGCTCCGGGAAACACGTCGGGCCAGTAGGAATTGTAGCTTTTCCTGCTAGGGTCGAGGTGGTGGAGACACCCTCACCATCTCGAGAGATGGCCCAAGCTACTGACTCCAATGGCATCCCGCAAACACATTCAGACCCATCGAGCCTCTGTTCGATGAATGTGTTCAAGTCCTTGGAGGAGCTAGAGGTGGAGTGGTCTAGATTAGACCCGCTAGCTTCTTGGACGGCCTTAGTCAAAGCTTCTAAGGGTGAGATGTTCGTCAGTGAGGTTGCTATTCGCGGCCGCAAGGCCAAGGCCTATTATGACACTTGCTCGACACGGAACTTTATTAGTCGCATGTGCGTTGAGAGACTGCGCTTACAGGGGCGAGTGCAGCGCTTGAGTCCACCTGTGGAGTCGACCTGTGCCAACAAACAACGCATGGTAGTTAACGACTACCTCCATGATGTAGAGTGTTGTTTTTCGTATGCGGGAGGGGACTTGAGACATCGTGTCTCGTTCCTAGTGAGCGATGAACTCCCCATGGACATGTTGTTAGGTATGTACTACCTCTCTGTGGCACAGCCCCGGTTTGACTGGGACCGAAAAGTGGTCAAACACACTTTGTCAAGTGGAGGGACCGCCAGATTACATAAGTTCAAAGCTAGTAGTCTGATTGAGTCCTACGGGTGCATGTGTGCGGCCTCGTGCTACAATTATTATAAGCAAAATCGGGAGGAGGATATGTACTTAGTTTATGTCTCTGCTGCAGGCGAGCCGGTGAAAATGTCGCCGGAGATAGAGGGAGTAGTTGCTAAGTACCCTGATCTATTTGAAGAGCCGACAGGGGTTGTTGAGATGGAGGTCGTCCACGCGATAGAGATTATCCCAGGATCTAGTATTCCGAAGGGTAGGATCTATCGGATGTCTCCAGGCGAGCATGATGAGCTTCGTCGCCAACTCAAGGAACTCGTAGAGAAGGGTTGGATCCGGCCGAGTGTCTCTCCTTATGGGTCTCCTGTTCTATTCGTACCTAAGAAGAAGGAGGGTACTCTTAGAATGTGCATTGACTTAGGGGCCTCAATGCCATCACTGTAAAGAACAGAGAGCCCCTACCGCGCATCGATGATTTGTTAGATAGAGTGCAAGGGTGTCGGTACTTCAGTAAGATAGATCTGAAGTCCAGGTACCATCAGATTGCAATCCGGACCGAGGATCAACACAAAACCGCCTTTCAGACCAGGTACGGTCTGTACGAGTTTGTGGTGATGCCTTTCGGTCTTTGCAATGCTCCTGGCACCTTTTAGCACGCTATGAATCGGATATTCCATGACTACTTAGATAAGTTTGTCGTCGTGTACCTCGATGACATACTTATTTTTAGTAAGACTGACGAGGAGGACGTTGCACATTTGGACAAAGACCTCAGTCTCCTGCGTCAGCACAAGTTCAAGATCAACGGTGAGAAGTGTGAGTTTGGACGCACCCGTATCTTGTACTTGGGTCATGAGATCTCCGYGGAAGGGTTGAAGCCCGATGACGCAAAGGTGGCCAGCATTCGTGATTGGCCACGTCCTCAGTCTGTGACTGAGATGAGATCTTTCTTAGGAATGACAGGCTACTATAGGACTTTCGTAAAGAACTATAGCATAGTGGCCGCTCATTTGACTGATCTGACCCGCCTTGACACCCCATGGGAGTGGACAGATAAGTGCGAGGCTGCTTTCAGACATCTGAAGCATGCATTGACGCACTATGAAGTCTTGAAACTTCCTGATCCTGACAAGTGGTTCATAGTCACCACGAATGCCAGCCAATATGGCATTGGCGCCGTGCTCGCGCAGCAGGAGGGGCCAAAGTTGAGGCCAGTAGAGTACATCTCCAAGAAAATGTCGTCTCAGAAGTTAGCTAAGTCCACTTATGAGAAGGAACTCTACGCGGTATACAAGGCTCTCACCCATTGGAGACACTATCTCCTTGGGAGGTTCTTCGTCCTCAGGACTGATCATCATACCCTGAGATGGATGAGAACCCAACCGGTACTCTCTGACGCTCTCAAGCATTGGATCGAAGTCATTGAGCAATATGACTTTGACCCTAAGTATCTCAAAGGGGAGTACAACAAGGTTGCTGATGCCTTGTCGCGCAGACCGGACTTCTCAGGTGCGCTGATTACTGAGTTCGATCTGACGGACAATGTTACTCAGTCTTTGGTGGAAGCCTATCACGAAGACCAGTTTATGTCTGAGATCTTACCCAGACTTGAGGCAAAGGATAAGAAAACTTCCGCCGAGTTTGAGTTGGTCAATGGCTTGCTGTTCCTAGAGAAGGCAGGGAATAAACGCTTGTGTGTTCCAAATAGCGAGTCTTTGCGTAGTTTGTTTTTAGGCGAGTGTCATGATGCCACCGACCATTTTGGGTATAAGAAGACCACAGCCAACTTGCTGCAGTGATTCTGGTGGCCCACGATGATGCGAGATGCACAGCTGTACGTGGAGACTTGTCAAGTTTGTCAACGGGACAAGCCACGTACTCAGGCTCCTCTTGGGCTTCTAAAGCCCCTTCCAATTCCGGAACGGCCTGGTGAGAGTCTGTCCATGGATTTCATGGATACTCTTATCACCAGCAAGAGTGGAATGCGTCACATTTTCGTCATCGTGGGTAGATTTAGTACGTATGCTAGGTTAGTAGCCATGCCAGAAACAGCAAAGACGGAGTACGTGATTAGAATGTTTAAAGAGAACTGGGTCAGGGAATTTGGTCTAGACCAAAGTCCATTGTTAGTGACAGGGATGTCAGGTTTACCAGCGAGTTGTGGAAGGCCGCTGCTGCAGAGCAGGGCACTCAGTTGCAAACGACTTATGGGAATCACCCAGAGGCCAACGGCCAGGCTGAGCAACTGAACCGCGCTGTGCAACACTTGTTGAGGCATTACATCAAGCCCAACCAGGTGGACTAGGATGAGAAGCTTGCTCTCGTCGCCAGTCTGTATAACAATGCGATACACAGCGCCACTGGGGTGAGCCCGAATAGTATGCTACTGACTTTCAAGCCTAGACTACCGTTGGATTTCCTTCTTCTTGAGAATCAGTCAACTGCTGCACCCGGTACATTAGAGTTTGCTTACCACTATGAACAGAAGATGCAGCAGGCGGTAGAACAGATGCAGAAGGCACAGGCCGCGATGATAGAGTCCGAAAACAGACACCGTCGGCCTTCTACATTTCAGGTTGGGGATAGAGTCTGGGTTAAGTCTTCAGAACTGGGACAGGAGTACGGGATATCCCGCAAACTCATGCCTTAGTACTTTGGACCTTGGGAAGTCTTGGACATCGTCGGGACAGATCCGGATGGTCCATCATATGTTATCCGGATTCCTGGTCATCTCCGTACTTATCCTGTTTTTCACGCTTCCAAGCTAGCACCTTTCAAAGAGACTGACCAATTTCCATCTCGCCGCTCAATGCTGCCCCCAACCATGGACGGAGAGGTGGACATCGATGATATTGTGGATCATAGAGAGCTGCCGGTATCAAGACCAACAGGCAGGGGACGTCCTCCAAAACCGAAGCTGCAGTACCGCGTTCGGTTCCGACATCACATTGATCCAAAGGAGGACCGCTGGTTCACCAGGGAAGAGCTCATGCAAACCGCTTCTCAGGTTGTAACTCAATATGAGAGATCTCTGCAGAAAGGAAAGCGCCCTATGATCGAAGATTGAGCTTCTCAGAGGACTGTTAAGGAGGAGGGAATGCGAGGCCACTGCCTCTAAGAGCCCCATAAGGCCGCTATTTTGCAGCCCGTCGGCCACCCTAAGTGAAGGCAGGCTCGACGAGGCCCTTAGGGCCCTTTTCTGGCCACCACGCAACTCAAGGAAATTCAGGCAGTTGCGCAGCGCCAGTTGGTTGAATGAACCCAGGCCCTGGGCCGCCTGTGTGAATGTACGTGAAGCAGGCCCTGGGCTGGATACGGGTACCGGGCAAAACACAGGCCGAAAGATGTTAGGCACATGCAACCACTTCAGGCCCAAGGCCTGCTTTCCTCGTGACTGGGCCTCAGGCTACCGGGGCCTATTGGAAGCTTCCTGGACTAGACGCAGGCAGGCCACTTCGATATAGGGAAGGCCTTGCCTCCTCATTCGGCATTCGGGTGCTGGCTGCATGCTACGCAAGCGCTGCTGCTGCGCTATTTGCGGGCTAGCGCCTACGCTCTCACGGGCGAACAGGGAAGGAGCACGCAGCCATAGCCGAGTTGCGCTGCTGTATGCTGGGTGAAGCGCAGGGTGGTCCTTGGGTGCTAGTGGCATCTGTGAGTTGGGAAACGAGGTTGTGAGTGTAGCGCGAGACATACCTGGTGCTGAAGCGTGCGACATTGGTCGCCATATGCTCGTACTTCAGGAACGCTGTTGATGTCATCTTTCTGCTTCGTAGTATAGGCTAGATAGGATCTGGCACATGTAGTCTGGGCGCCGAGCGCCAATAGGATATCAACACTGGTTCTTCGTTGATGATGATGGGACTACCCAACATTGTCAATTATGAACTCTTGGTGTGTTCGTATTTGGTGTATCTCATGATGCAATTATGCTGTTGGTTCGAGGTCAAGACTATCTGGACTCATATGTATGATGTTGTTTGATTGCCGGAGTTCGCTATTACTCATCTTCCTTGCATATATATATCATATATATATATATTATATAATATATATATATATATATATACAGGGTTGCCATGCCGAACGTACGGAGGCCCCTAAGCAGACCCCCGAACGTTCGGGCATTCGGGTACCCGTACGGGGTCAGAACCTGAAGGGGTTCGGACCCCGCAAAAAAATATATTGGCACCTAAATATTATTATTTTTTCTGAAAAATGTTCAGTGAGTTCCTTGTAATGTAAGGTATCTCCCTCTTAATTTTGAAGCCATTCTGTTGAGCAAACAAAAAATGAAAAATCGACAAAGATGGTGGTTTCAAAACTTGCTGGCCCACTCACTAATTTATTTTTTCTCTTTTTTCACTTTTTGTTTCTCTTTTATTTCGGGGCATGAAACAAAATATTACTTTTTAAAACTTTATTTGTATATTCTCTATTATGTAAGATACACATATACAAAGTTTCATGGCAGTTGTCACAGCCCAAAAAAAATAAAAAATCACCAAAGATGACGGTGTCAAAAACGTGCTCGCCCACTCGATAATTTCATTCTCGTTTTATTTTTTTATAATTTTTATTATTATTATTTAGTTTTAGTATTTGATTTGTATTTCAAATTTGGTAAAGAATTTGGATGTAACGTTGAGGCAAATGTTGTTTAGTTTATTCTTTTGTATAACATATATTTGTTTTGGATTTTTTGTTTTTTTTTTGGGGGTCGGCGTTCGGCCGAACGGCCGAACGAGTCGAGAGGGGTTGCCGAACGTTCGGGCGTTCGGGTTCGGGTGTTCAGCCTGTCCCGAACGCCGGCAACCCTGTATATATATATATATATATTATATATATGATATATATATAATATATATATATTATATATATATAATATATATATATATATATATTTACATACGAGGAAGCGTGATTTTGGGTTCGGGTGCTACCATGTTCGTAATATTAAATTGTCTTTTAAAATTGTACCTCATCTGCTGCGATTTGGCAAGGGAACGAACGGTTCGTTCGCTTCAAATTATTAAAACGGGCAGACCAAACTATCCGACCTCTCTCGAACATGTTTTGCCTAGTGAAAGCGACCCTACAGGCATTGTGGATTAAACCCTCAAAAGGAAGGTACCCGTGGCTGCATTGGTAGGAAGCTTATCACATCCAATGGAGGGTCATAAACCCCCTCTTTACCATCGGATGCAAACACCTATTAGTGGTAGGCCTATTGCACAATTTTAAAGCAAGGAAGTTGACAGTTGGTATCCCATTTTAGGACCACTGCACGCCGATCTTACAGTTTTTTCGTGTTAAGTCGAAAAGACTGCAGAAATTGGTCACGGATGGGCGTGTCTGTTTAGTGACCATTGGTGTGGGATGCTAAATTTCTTTGCAATGCAGTGTAGGGGCAATGTGCACAGGTTGTGGCTATCTGAGCCAAGTGGTTTAGTGTCATACTTGCACTATGTATGTAGGAGAAGCGAGTTGTTGGCAGTACTGACACAATCTATTTTGAGAGAGTGGCTATAGCGTGTCGAAGAGGACTAGAGGGTTATAGGTCAACCGCACCCAAACGCATCAAGTTTTAGTAAATCTTCGGATCAGCTCTTTCCCCTCTTTTCCCCTTTACTGCATAGAAGATTAATCGATCGTTTGGGGCGACGATGTACTTCTCAAAATTGACAATAAGAAGCACTAAAGTTGAAACGCACTAGAACTGGAGCGATGTACTTCTCAAAATTGACGATAAGAAGCACTAAAGTTGAAACGCACTAGAACTGGAGCGAAGACTTAAGCTCAAGATACTGGTCACTGAAGCTTGACAACGACTATGCAAAATCATATGTTCCCCATACAGCCAAGTCCTCATGAGAGTCCGTTCGAACAACCAACCACGTTTGTTGGATCACTGGTTACCGAGCATGAAAAAGTTGTTTGAAGACGAGCACAGAGAGGTACGAAAGAAATAATGATAAAACGAGAAACTGAGGGGTAATGAAAGTTGTAGAGGCAGCACAAGCTAGCCCGCCAGGGAGTCAGATGACACCTATTTCAACCCCTATGACATGACCTTGCATTTGACATCTCTCTACCCACTTCTCACGAGTTCCTATCAGTGAGTTGCACGCGGTCACAGGATACGTTAAACCCCTTTCACATTCCACATCCTCTCCTCTCTTCGTCAATTCTCACTAGAACCTCGAGTCACCCTCATCTCGTGACCAGTAACTATTTTATAGTAATTTCTTCCCCCTTTCAGTGATAGTAAAGTCGCCGCCGGAAATAAGGGCTATCGTAACCACTTCTGGCTTTTATTTTTTCATGATTGTAAACGGTGAGAGGCAACAGGCAATATCTGTCCCGCAGGAGTGCAAGTGACCTTAACAAAACTTGCGAACCCTTTACAAAAATCTATGATTTCAAATGATCACACACACGCTCGTGAGCACCTCATACATCTCAGTATCCTCAGCATAACGCCACTTCTCTTTAATGGGGAAGGTAGCGCCGTACGATGAGAGTTACTGAGAGTGCCTAGATGCAAACGACTGACTTTTATTACTAAGGAAACACACTAGTTCTTTCTCTAATCATTCTCAGTCCGTCACCATTTGTAATCGCCTCTCAAACACCCCATTGAAGTGATTTGTTGGTAGCCATAGACAAACGTAGCCTGGAGGAGAAGATAGAAGCAAGTGCTCGACGATGGTAAAGGAAACATTATTTGCTCCGAGATTGTCGTGCCACTAGTGACGTCAAACAATAAGTTGTAGTGTTAAGCTTTTGCTAAATCCAATATTTGACGGTCATGTTTATCGCTCATAACCGACGTAATCACGAGTCCTTTAACGACCATACACA